TGAAGTTCTAGATGGGGGTGAAATGTTCACTGGCTCTGTCCACACATGAGCCAACAAGATCAGGCTGGCATTTGCTATTCTGACAGATACTAACAAACTATGTTGCCTCCACACTCCAACCAGCATCCCCAGCCTGAAAGCCCTTCTCTTCATTTCTGTGGGAAGCTCAACCCTTCCCTGCACACTGGAATCTTCTGGGAACTTCAAGGCACTGGAGAGGTTGTGATAGAACTGGTCTGGGGTGCTGCTGGACAAAAGCATTTTAAATGAGTTAGGTGATCCTGATGTTCAACGGAGTTTGAGAAGCACTGCTCCAAGTCAGTGCCAGTTCAAGAAGGTGTGGAGGGAGGGAGCTATTCATTGAGCAAATAGGGAGAGGAATGAGGACCAGTGGGTGAAGCAAGCTGAAAAATCAGAAGGGGAAAAAAAAAATGGCAAAATGAACTTGAATTTCAGCCTCTGCTCCTCTACAAATGAAAAGCCTTGCACGTTTTGCTTGCTGTGTGCAAGTAGGGAGTTTCAATCTTTAGATATTTTGGAAGAAAAATCTAGAAGAAAGAGCTGCTCAATTGCAATCCAATTTTCGGGCACTTTTCTGTGTCAAAGCCAGCTGCCTGTTTCATTACCGAGCAATTTTAATGCTTTCCTCCTCAGGTGCAGTTGAGGTCGATGCAGGCAGCGTTGATATTTATAATTTCTCCTTTGTCCTGTCCTGCAGTGGGTTTCACGCCTACTACAATCCACACATTTTCCACCATGCCCAAGGATGACTTAAAAGCAAAGTGAAGGAAAGGTTAAAAGTGGGAACCTAGCACTGAGAAAGAGGGTCTTGACTCCTGGTGGGGATCAGAAAAATGTCAATTTCCACTCTATTCCTGTTAGTTCCCTGAGGCCCCAGAGCGACGGCTTGGAATGCTCCTGCATTGCCTCAAGGCTTAGAATGGCACCTTGCACATGGCAAGCCTCAGCAAATACTTTGTGTCATTATCCAAGCAAGAATGACATGTTACATGGGTGGAGCATTTCTACGGTTTAACAGGTGCTTCCAGGAGCACCTCCTCTAACAGGTGCTTCCAGGAGCACCTCCTCCAGCCCCTCAACTCTCTGACCTATGTGGAGATTGTTCCTCCCGCTTTCCAGGCTCAGAGGGTTTAGCTGGTACATGGGAGGTCCCTCTAGGCCTTAAAGGTAGATCTGGGAGGGAGAGCCCAGGTATCCCACACCTTACTCCCCCAAAACCACCAGTAAATTGTGTCTTCAACCGTAGGGCTTCAGCCTTGTGAACAGCCGATTCCTTTCTTGACCCATCTTGGGAGGAAGTTTATCATCACTGTTGTTCGAACAACAGGAGATCAGATGATACTTTATATCCACATAGGAACTGTGCCCTGACATGGATGTAAGTTCCCTTAGCGTTTCAACTTGCTCAACCTTAAACCTTTTCAACATTATTAACGTTTTCAGAATTCACAGGGAGTTTCCGCGGCCTTCCTTGGCGCTGCCTAAGGAGGTGGTACCAGAAACCTAACACTAGAGCAAGGGAGCCAAGGTGTCCTGGCAACGCCCGTCGGGGTGGTTTGTAAAAATCGGAGTCAGGCCTTACTGGCTGGGCTATGGCCCTCGGCCACAGGGTGCGGAGAACTCAAGGGCCTGAACTTGCCACTGACATCTGGCTTCAGGACGTTGCTGGGGCAGCCATCTGGGAGCCCGAGTGCGTTGGGGCTCAGGCATTTCCTCTGAGGACCAGTCCCCGTCCGCTTTGCGGGTGCCCGCGCCGGTCTGAGAAGCAGCCAGTGAACAAATACCTCTGTTAATTTTCTGTGTGTGAAGTAAAAGCATACATCCTAAGCACGTGCAAAAAAAAAAAAAAAAAAAAAATTGTTCCCACATGTTTAAAGAAGTGTGGAGATTAACAAAACGGAGCTCAAACATCAGTGTTGAGCAGCAGTTGACAACACCGAAACGAGGAGGGACAAGGACACGGACTGCATCCGTCCCCCAGAGGGGGCCTCGGCCCGGAAACCACCACAGACACAGGGCCAGAAAGGGGGCTGGGTTCTTCTACCAGAACGGTTTTGATTTAGAAATAGGACAAGGAGCGCCTGGGTGGCTCAGTCGGTTATGCGTCCGACTCTTGATTTTGGCCCAGGTTGTGATCTCGCGGTCCGTGAGACTGAGCCCCAAGTGAGGCTCTGCACGGACAGCGTGGAGCCTGCTTGGGATGCTCTCTGCCCCTCCCCCACTCGTTCTTTCTCCCTCTCTCTCAAAATAAACAAACTAAAAAAAAAAAAAAAAATAGAAATAGCACAAAGTCACTGCTTAAATACCTTTATTATTTTTTAAAAATTATTTGGACATTGATAGCTCTGCAAAATACTTCTCCCATCCCAGACCCTCAAACCCTTTCCACATGTCCTCCCTAAAGAAACAAAATACTCATACTTTGTGCCCATTCAAATCTAATTTTTAAAAACATGTAAGATTCAAAATCAAATATTTTTCTTTCCCAGAACTTGTTAGTAATTTTAAACCACAATGCAACATACTTAATGGCATTTCTTTTTAAAAATTAGCTTATCAGACTATTTTATGAGGAAAAAAAAAATCAATTCAAGGCCTTAGAATATAAATTCCCTGTTTCTGAAAGCAAAAGACGTTGAAAAGCCCCTTTGCTCCCCTGGAGTTTGTGATTTCCACGTTATCAACAGAACCAGCACACAGATGGGACTTTCTACTTCATGTGAAGGCTTGCTTAGTTACTTTGGGGCTGCAGCTGAAATGCTGTAAAGTTTGAGAGGATGGGTGGGTGGGGAGGGATAATTCCAGCACAGAGGAGAGACGAGGCTGGGGGTACAGAATGGAAGCTTTCTGAGCAGTGGAAAGAACAGCCAAATCCCTAGGATCCTACCTCGTGGCAGGTTTGTTTGGGGTGGAGGGAGACGGTAGAAAATCTGCATCCTGCACTGATTTCTTAATGATGGACTCAGGCGTCAACCAAAACTATTGCACAGAGTACCAGAGGCACGTAAACCACGGAGGAGGTTCAGGAAAGAATAACCACAGAGGGGGGTGATCCCCAACATTCCTTGGGGAACTGAGAGAAAGAGAAGGAGCTGACGTGGATTCTTTGGGAATTACTAAGAGGAGGTGGGCAGGTAATCCCTTCCCTGTCCTCAATGGGCAGATGTTTACGCAAGCAAACCTTCATCTCGGATGTGCCCGAAAGATCTAGCAAAGGTATCGCTTGATTTTCCCCAGTACAACTTCATTACCTAGCTAAGAGAGGGAGGGAGGAAGAAATCCTCCAACAGGACCTAGCCCATCTGGCTAGCTGAACAATAGCAGCGTTTCCAAATGGCCTTCCCGGCCCGCTGACTGCCCGGCTGACCTCTGAGCCACACATACAGGGCCCCGATGAGCTCACCCCTCGTTGGGTTCTGAGCGGGGCCTAGATCCTTCAAGGAGCTTGCAAAACTCAGGCAAGATTTAGGAGCCTGCCGTGAGAGGGGATCTGGGGTGAAATGGCCGGCCCGTGTGGCCAGGGAAAGCCAGCACGGCCCCACAGTCTCCTTTTACTGTCAAGCGACGCCTGCCAGCTAACCTGAGGCCACGCGAGTGCGGTCTCCTCGGTACTCTGCCATCAGCTGGTGTGACCAGAGCCAGCCGTCCTGATGCCTTCTGGAGTTTCAGAATCAAGAAAACATTGGACTCGTCTCTGGGAACGGACGTGAATCATTTTTCCACTGCAGTCGCCGGGGCAACGTTTTGGGGCTCCAAAACCCCGGCCTCACCAGATGGGTTCGTCTCACCTCCTTAGGACTACGCATCCTAGGTGTCCCGATGCCCACTGACTAGAATCCCAAGTACTTCTCCTCTAAGGTTTCCCCGACATTCAGTCTCAGTAACATACAGTACATGTGTCGTCAAAAGGAAAGTCACTTGTTCAGAGTAAAGCGTGTCCCTACACCGCTCGTCTAGACCGAAGGGCCTTGTGTTTCCTTACACCGCCCGTGGATCTGCAGCTCGCAGCTGGTTGTGCTCCCGTGGGCTGTAGCTTTCTGTCTTGTGTTCTGAGTGAGTCGTGTAAACCGCCAGCAAATGCGATGCCCCCCAAAGCCCGGCCTGTCTCTGCGGCCTACAGCTGATGCCAACCTATTAAGCTTTTTAAACATTAAAAAACAAAAACAAAAAACAAAAAAACCACT